TGATTTCCAGCATCACATAAAGCTGTCCCTACTGGTTCAGGTTTTTTCTTCCACCAAACAGTGCAAACACCACTTAACAATCTCACTTTATAACCTTCGATATCAAGCTGGGGGACAGATATCAAATTGTGTGATATGTCCGGAGAATACGAAACCCTATTTAGTCGGATTGTGCTTGACCGTTTGTTTCCTTCCCTTATGATCTCGATCTTTTGTCCAAATGGTGTGCCCAGGGAAATCTTACTTTTATCCACAGAATGCAACTTCATCATGTCATCTAAGGCCATGTTTAGTTCCCCCATTTTCCAGAATTTGGCACTATGCAAAAAGAAGATTCCCCGTCACATCAAACTTGCGGTACATGCATGGAGTACTAAATGTTGACGAAATCAAAAACTAATTGCACAGTTTGGTTGTACTCTACGAGACGAACGTTTTGAGCCTAATTAGTCAACGATTGGACAATTATTACCAAATAAAAACAAACGCTACAGTGCATGAACAGTGTCGCCGAATCCGGCGGCGCCGAATCGGCCTCCAACTAAACACGGCCTAAAGTGCTGGTTAGGTGGTGAGCATTTCCTGAGTCCACTATCCATGACTACAAAATCCAATTTGAATTCATTAGATGACATGCTTTAGATACACTTAAGTTTTATTTTTAATTCATTCAGATCTCATACTCTACTGAACCATATTAAATATATTTTGACTTGGCCGCATTAATGCATAAAATCTAACAACCTTTATTTTCTACTCCCTCCATCCTAGGAAGAATGTCATTCTTGCTTTTTAAGGAGTCAACAAATTTTAAGTTTGACCAAATATATACAAAAGGTACTAATATTTGTGATATGTAATAAGTATCATTAGATGAATCATGAAAAATAGTTTCATAATAAACCTATTTGGAGATACAAATGTTGATAATATTTGTTATAAACCTAGTCAAGCTTAATAAAGTTTGACTCAGTCCAAACCTAGGATGATATTCTTTTTGGGACAGGTGACATATATTACTAGGAATTATGCTTAAATAAAGATTAGTTATTCTTAATCTGCTTAATTTTAAGAACAGAGGCAGTTGAAGCAGTAAGTTAGGAATTATACCTCAGTTGCCTCTCTTTTCCTCTTCTTCACATTTCTTTGAGTGGCTTCTACAGCCACCTCCGGAGCAATGATGGTGGACGCCTCTGCAATTTCTTCAGCACTTCAAGCTTCAGAAATGTACTTCTTCTTGAAATTCAGATAGTTAACAACATATCTCATCCCTTGTGTGTCAAGATAACCCTCACCAACCAATGCGGATGATTCTGGGTTTCGCACAGTGAAACTGCCATCACCAAAATCAATTTGTAGACCTTGAGATTCAAGCATTCCAGCCGAGATGATGTTCATGGAACATCCTTCAGTGAAGTAAACACCACTCAATTTGATTTCATTGGTGCGTATGTCTCCTTTGTGCGTTCGACAGAACATTGTCCCTGATGCTACTGAAAATTGAAGTTGTTTGTCTCCATCAATTTTTGATATCCTCTTTAGCCAGCATTTATTTCCAGTGATATGATACGAGCTGCCTGAATCGAGAACCCACTTTGTTTCAGCATTTTGAAATGATCACTTTACACCTCCAACAAACCTCCTGCACACCAAATTTACTATTAGTGTGATTAGAGACTCCTTTTAAAGCCACCATGTTAATCCTTATGAAATGTGCTAGAGAAACAGAGAAATATTAAAATATCTCACTAAAAAGCAAAAAAAAAAAAAACGACCTTCTACAAAATGTGGCATCCCCTTCTGTTTCATACTGAGATTCATCTTCATGGAGCACAAGGTTCTACATAACATGCACAAATGAAATTCAAATAGAATATGAAATCCATGATGAATTAAAACTATAAGAAGTTATAAAGTCAACTGATGACATGATTTTAGCAATCTTGAAGTTTTTGTCCATACTTGTGGCTTGGAACACATAAAATTTGCATGTTGAATTAATCCATCAATGCTCCACTACAACTCTAGCCAAAGAAGACCAAGAAGTTCAGACCAGACTCTAACAGCTACTACTCATTCCAGTGCCAGGGAGGCATTTTATCAATTTCAGTATCGACAAGATAACAAATTTCTTTTATTTCCTTTTTTTAGGCCAAGAGATAAGATAGGACTTCAAAGTGCAGTGTTTGACACTAAACTGCTAGTTCCAGACAACAATATTACAACTGAGTTTTACAATAGTGGAACTTGTGTGGTAAAATCTTTTTAGGGAATCAATAACAACTCTAACAGGACAAGTCACTGTACCTTGATAAGTAATTCCATGCCTATCAATAAAGGAGCTTTTCGTTGTGTATGTAGCACATTGTTAGGCTGGAGATGAGACAAAGAACACATGAGTTGTACAAAAATAATGACAAGGGTACTGGAGAAAAAGGCCCAGCAGTTCAATACGAATTTTAGAATAATAAATAAAAGAGATAACCAAAAATACCATATCTGATTTGACTTGTTTATCCAAATTTCTCTGCAAAGAAAATAAACATGCAGAAACACTACTGCCTACAATAAAATTTTCATATGTATTCCTTATACCTCTAACATGCACCTTGGAGGGTTTTTTGGATCTCAGGTTCTATCATATTTCTAATCTGGAATTTGGATTTAAATCATAAGAAAAAGAGTTGTTTTCCATAGTTACAAAAAAAACTAAAATGGCAAAAATAGTTTTTTTTTTCTAAAAACCAAATTATCAAAAAAGTTTTACCAGTTTCCACAAAACTCAAAAGGTAACTAATAGAAGAATTTAAGCTAGTCATAGCTATGTAATGTTTTACTTTATCCTCTATCCTAACTGAAAATCATGTCATAAAGATATATTTTTCTCGAATAACACAAGACAATTCATGTCATAGATATGTAAGACAATTAACCAAAACTGAAGATTCGAATGATCATTAGGAAAAATATGCAATATGTATAGTTTTACAATTAGTTATCATATTTTGAGCCAACCAATAAAAAAGGTTTAAGTGAAGCCCTCAAGCCTCGGTGGAAGAAGTGAAATATGATAAAACAAATACAAGAGCATTTCTACTCCCAAACAAATATGTTCAGTTGTTAATTCTCTGGTTTATTTATCATGGATAGAATACTAAACCTGATACATCATATATTGGTAAGAAGAGAAAATTAGAGCTGGTAAGAAAAAAATTGTTACATGTAGCTTATGATGCAACAATAATTTACCATTCTTACAGTTCCATATTGGGCAGCAATATATAGTGGACTTCCACATTCCCACAGAGGGTCAGCATAAGCTCCTCTTGACAATAACAACTCTGCTATTTCAGAGGAACTTGGTCAAACACGAGGAAAATAATCATGCCACATTGCATTTATGGATATATTAAAGAGAAAATTTCTTATTTGGTCCTGGTTTAAAGTTATCTTTCTTTCTTGGCCCTGAAACAAAATTTCTTACCTATTTGGTCTCACTCGAAATTTCGTTTTCCAATCTAGTCTTACCGTGAGATCTGTCAAAGTTTGCCATCGTCGAGTTGTCAGTTTTTATTGAACAGACAGAAATACCCTAACTGAACCGTGTCTCTCTTTCGCTTCTATCTCAGACCTCTCGGTCTCATCTCTGTCCCTCGAGTCCGCTCTCTTCTGAAACAAAAAGAACCCTAACCCTAGGTACTGCGGGGCGGCGGCCAGGGCGCGCAGGCTCAGCAGGCGGCTGGGCGGGCAGAGGCAAGGGCGCGCGGCGGCCTGGGCTCGCGGAGGCCAGGGCGTGCGGCGGCCTGGGCTCGAGGCGACCAGGGCGCGCAGCTTCCTGGGGTCGCGGTGGCCAGGGCGCGCGACGGCCTGGAGACAGCGGCGACCTCCACTCCCGTCGCACAGTCACCGTCGAAGGCCGCGCGCGCAGCCGTCTCACCACGGTTCGTCTCTCCCTCTACCTCCGTCCCCTCGCTGAGCTCAGTTTCTGTTCAATTTTCACGCTCCCTTCCCCTCGCATCTAACACTTGCGATGCGACCCTCCAGAACTGAATCGCGCTCTGTTGATGGGCAGCATGCGCGTCCCGCCACCGCCGGCGCCGCTCGTCGGAAGCACTAGGGTTGCCTTCCGTTCTGGGATTCGCTTTTCCTCTGACACAGTCCTCAAATACAGAGGCGCGCGCTTGTTGGTCTTTTTTTTTTTGCTGTTGCTGCCCGCCTGCCCCTGCCAGCCACGAGTTCCTAAAGGTTCGTTGGTCTCTGTTTCATAGAATCGTGCATTGCTTCCTGATTTTCAGGGTTAACTACCAGTAGCGCGATGAAGTCGTATAGGCTATCCGAGCTCAGCGACCAGTAGCAGAAGCATTCCGTGAGTGTGAGGAGGCCGTCCGCCTCAATCCGGCCAGCGGCCGTGCGCATGGCCGCCTCGCCGGCTTAGGCCTCCGGTGAGATTTTCCTTCGCTTGCCTTGTCTGCGCATGCCTGTTCTCCTGCTCTTCTGCACTGGAATGGAATGGAATCGCATCCACAGATCTCGCGTCCTTCTCCTCTTTGCTTGCGTGCAAATCCAATATGCTGCTCCTTTTTCTGTCACTTGTCACTTCCTTGCGGCATGTTTATCTAATTTGGGATCATTATAGTTATGGTGCTGATCATTACCGTTTCTTCTCTTGCTTGTTTTGGAAGTAAAAGCTCTGATCCTGTGATTACATGAGAAACATGAGAAAGTTTGCATCTTTATAGTTGGTGGTATGTTGCAGTGAGTTAACGTGGACTTAACACGATGTGCATCACACAATGCAGCTGATATCCTGCTCTGCTCTGTTACCCTTCGTTCAGGTTTCCCTCTTTTTCCCACTAACTTTTCCCGATTGTAAGTTGACCGGCTGCATTCCCAGTCTCATGTGTTTGCTCCGCCCATCGTTTTTCTTACGCCTCTTGGTGAAGCCGGCCTGGACTTCGGCTCTCTATGTGCCAGTGGTCTGCGACGACAGCACGGGTTGAATGGAGCCCGACGGAGGTGCAGACGAGGACCTAGACATTGAAGGAGGTGGTCCATCTACAGTACAAGCAGATTGGCTTGAAGGGTGAGTTAACAATCACCGACTCTGATTTGTGTGTTTGTATCGATGACTTAAGTTTACAATTACTTTGCTCATAGGATGGATCCTAAATCCACTTTTATGCTGAACTTTAAACATCTTGGTAATCCAAAGAAAGCTAGGAAGGATCTTAGATGTTTTTGTTTTGAGAAAATTGTGGATAGTGACAGAACAAATTTAAAGGACTTAATTCAATCAATCATAGAGCAATATCCACCCAGTTACATGGAAGTTGCTCATCTTCAATATCATGACCACGTTTTGAAAAGCTTTCCAGAAGTTAAAACAGACCAAGACTTGATGTTAATGTTTGAGAGACACATGAATACAAAGGTTGTGGACATGTTCATAGCATATTGTGATCCTTCTGAGCAATACCATCCTATCACTGAGTGGGATAGTGAGAATAGGAACAAGCCAAATAAGCCTCCTGGTGACACCACACAATTGGATGAGGGTGAGGATGCTTATCTACGAAATCCACAACCAGAGAACGAACATGTTGGTGTAGATGATGAGGGTATGTACAATGAACCTGTACATGGTTTGGACCTAGTTGTTTATTCTTCCAAAGACAAGGATAAGCAATATGTTCTAGTTGAAGATGATGAGGATGAAGTTGAGTCAGGGTCTGAGTTAGGGAAGTCAGGGTCTGAGTCGGAGTCTGAAATAGAGGAGGCCGAGGATTTAGTAGGAGACGACAATGAGAAAGGTCATGTCCTAGACATAGAATATGATAAAAAGGACCCTCCAATGACAAAAGGCACAACATATCCCAACATGGCAACTTTTAAATTGGCATTATCTCAACATGAAATAAAAAATGAGTTTGAATATAGAACTGTGAAAAGTGCACCAAAAAGGTTCACAGGTATTTGTTCAAGGAAAAATGAAGACAAATGTTCGTGGAGGATACATGCTTCAACAACAAAAGACAAGCAGACTATAATGGTAATAATCCTACCATTGTGTACACTTTGCCATCTTATTGTTTAAATGTTTCTAACTACAACATTTCATTTCAGGTAAAAAAGAATTCATTTCAGCATACATGTTCTAGCACGAGAAGAAAAAAGAAGGTAGTGAATGCTACCAAGCATTGGATATGTGAGAAGGTGAAGGACTGGCTCATTGATGATGCAACTTTGGGAGCAAAAGCACTGCAGAAGAAACTAAAAGAGCACCACAAGGTACACATTCACTACATGAGAGTGTATAAGGGTATGGAGCTAGCACTAAATCAGCTTTATGGTAATTAGGACAGCAGCTTTGATAATCTATTTAGGTTTAAGTCAGCAATTGAGCAATGTTGTCTAGGTAGTATGGTAATTATCGATCATCACATGCATAGAGGGGTTCCTTTCTGGTTGCAGGCCATATCTAGCTATAGACAGTACATTCTTAACTGGCAAGTACAAGGGACAATTGGCTAGTGCTTCAGGTGTTGATGGCCATAATTGGTTGTATCCAGTAGCTTTTGGGGTTTTTGATTCTGAAACTAATGATAACTGGATCTGGTTTATGCAATTGCTCAAAGATGCTATTGGTTCACCAAACAGTTTAGCCATATGTACTGATGCAGGGCAGGCAATCATGAATGGTGTAAAAGAGGTGTTTCCACAAGTAGAACATAGGGAATGCATGTTTCACTTAGTGACCAACTTTAAGAAGAAGTTCCATGGAAAAGTGTTTGATGACCATCTTTGGGCAGCAGCTTACTCATGGAACTCCTATGTATTTGAGAAGCATTGGCTTGCAATGGAGAAAGAAAAACCAGCCGCAACCGCATACCTAAGGAAATGCCATACTAGGTTGTGGACTAGGAGTCAGTTCTCCACTAGATCAAAGGTAGACTATGTAACCAACAACTTAGCTGAGAGCTTCAATAATTGGATTAAGAAACACAAGTCCCTGAATTTGGATGATTTCTTGGACAAGATTAGGCTATTGCTGATGACCAAATGGAACTAAAGAAGAAAAATCTCAAGGAAGCTAGATGGCTTGATTCTCCCACATATAATTAAGAAATTGAATGAACAGAGCAGGGAGTTGGAGTTGGAAGTTAAGGAATGCTCAGAGGAAGTGGGAGAAGTTACTGCATTGGGGGGTAGTGGCTTCCAGTTTGTGGTAAACTTGCTTGATAGAACATGTTCTTGTAGGCAATGGCAGGTTTCTAGAATTCCATGTAGACATGCCATAGCATTTATTACATCACTTAGCAATGCAACTCTAGATAACTATGTGGACCCTTATTACTCTGTTGACAAATTTAGAGTAGCATATGCTCAATTAATTCCAGCTATGCCTGACAAGACTCAATGGCCCAAAGCAACACATGAATTTTTCATGTATCCTCCACTCTTAAAACCCACTTCTGGTAGGCGAAGGAACCAAAAGTTCAAAGGATGCACTGGCAAGAACAAGAAAAAAAGACAGCATAAGTGTTCTATTTGTTTGGAGGTTGGGCATCACTGGCATACATGTAAAAAAGGTAATCCAGAAGACAAGAAAGCTCTAGCAGCACTGAGGTAATAAAGTCTGTATATATGTTCAGTACCATAGAAGAGAAGAAATTTAAAGATAAGTGGCCCTGACTTAATATTTTCACTTGTAGGGAACCAAAGAAGAAGAAGAAGGCAGCATCTCAATCCAGCATTGTGCCGATGGATGATGAAACAACAACACAATCCATGTCTTTTCCACCAAGGTTAACTGAAAATCTTGTGTTCATCATTATATGAAAACATGCTTTGAATGTAACTTCATTTATATTTACCATAGCCTTAGCATGGAACCAGAAACTAAGAAAAAAGGCAAGCGTAGCACTTCTGAATCTGTAGGATCAGCAGGGTATGATTCTTATTTGTACAAATTTTTTGCTCAAATTTTCGATTACTAAAATCTGAATTTGTAGGAGGAGCCAAAGCATTGAGCCTGCAGCTAAGAAAAAGTCCAAACAAGGCACGACTGAATCTGTAGGATCAGCAAGGTACTGCTACTGATTTCTATTGGTTTCGCTGGCATAGCAGCTTTCTTTTCTCCAGGGAGGTAGTAGGTAGCATGAATGCAATTCAGGCTTACAATTTCAAAGACATTGAGGGTCAAGTAGGTTTGATGCAGTGACATATGTCCAAGTTCCAGGCCCTGCAAAAGTCGATTGGCCACCTTATAGCTTGCCATATACATGATTTAGTGAACTACAGGCTACAGCATGGTAGAGATACATACCCCTTTGGAAACATCTGTAGCACATAGCAAGACTCACTTCAACAGGTCAATTGGCTAAGTAAGGATATGGCTGAAAAAGCACATATAGATGAATTATTACCTAATAAAATGCAAAACAAGTTGATCAAGTATACAGTAGAACCTAACAAGCCCAGCTGCCACTCCCAAGCTAACTTTTCTCCAGAAAGCGAAATGCAGTGAGCAGGCAAAAATGACAAACATGTTCTTGCTGATTTACTAAGATGTCAATTTTTGTACACAATGAGAACATGTTTCTTATCAAATGCATGGAAATTCGCATAAAAAATGGCTCATGAGCAGATTTGATTTTGTCATAGTTTTTAGAGATTAATCAATAAGCTGTTAGTTCTATACAGTATATCTCTCTAAGTTTAACTAAAATGAATGCCCCATTACATGCATTTTTACAGGTCCAAAAAAGGTTCAAATCAACCTGAACCATCTACGGAGCTTACAAGTGGTGCAGCACCAACATCTAAAACTGTGAAGGCCAAGGCTAAGACAAAGACAAAGCGGAAGAATATAGCTAAAGACATTGCCATAAAGCCACTGATACTTGATAGCCCTACGATGGACACAAGAAGCAAAATATGTAATCATGTTAGCCCTGCAATGAGCACAAGAAGTAAAAGGAGGCTCAGTTTGTGACTTTCATGTGCCTGCAATGTCGCTTTTAATATGAACTTGATGTATGCGTCGAACTAGTGCACTGTGAAAATGATGTATGTGTCGAACACTATGTTGAACTATGTGCTCTGTGCCCCTTTTGAATTTTTAGGATGATGAACTTGTTTAAATTGTGTGCTATGATCAAGTTGACATGATTTAGTATATTTTGATGGGATCCCATTTTGATGTGATGCATTTATAGCAGTAAGTATCGTCACTGATTATTTCAGAGCACAGCACTTACTGCAGTTTGGTTCTCTCTTTATACTGAAAGAACTAGAGCTCTAAATGTCTCTGGGGCAGTTTGGTCATTTCATATGCCACTTAACAGTGTTAGAGGCAGGAGATGACGGTAAGGTCATATTAGAAAACGAAACTTCGAGTGAGGCCAAATGGGCAACAAATTTTGTTTCAGGGCCAAGGAAGAAAGACAACTTTAAACCAGGGCCAAATAAGAAATTTTCTCTATATTAAAAGAAATACATGTTTCATGACTAATATACCTAAATTGGTCATGTTAACAATTTCAAAGACAATTTTAGAGAACATTATTCAAATTAGTTATTACCACAAAGTCAAGGTTTAAGGTTTTTAGCAACTGAGGAAGTAACATGGTCAAAACTCAAAATCAGAGCAACACAGAACCAGTTCCCTCTCTTCGTGTTTTTTCCTGTGTCTTTATTTTGTTTTGTGGTTTTGGGGGTAGCTGCTGCCCACTGAAGGATGGTTAATGGCATTTTGAACCAACAGGAATAGGTATCACCTTTTCTTAAAGAAATGTAGCAGTCTTCAACTGTTACTTCGCTATCTGGAAATTGTTTGCAGTGACTATAGATTGAATATGCAGGATATAAACTGAAAATTTGAACTACTATTCTACTAAATAGATCTTCTAGTAACCAACTTAGCTCTTTAGATTACCACAATGTGCGACGAATAGGCATTAGGCAACAATAAACCTAAGTCCTGACTCTTTTTTTTTTTTGAAAGAGAAGTCCTGAAATTTACCTTACATAAGAGATGGAAAGCATTTGGTGTCATAAGCTTAAAGTTTGAAGGCAGCAAAAGAAAGTTCAAAATTCACATTTTCAAGGGTAAAAGAGAACCTCTAATTGCAGCAATACGGAGAGGAGTACTCCCATAGCTGTCTTCTCTGTTAGGATTCACGTCATGATCAAGGAACCTCACAACCACTAAAGATCCACTACCATTTATTGCAAAAACTGGAGGTGTCGCCCCTGGCAAGTGGCAAGGTCACAAGGCAAGAAATGCCAATCAGAACGATCAATACTTATTACTTCTAATCAAATGAAGTGGTACGTAATATAAACAGATAGTAGTATTACAGATGTTATCCTCTATCATGGCACAAAGATTAAACTAAACAGGAAGATCCATGATCTACACTGGTGATGAAAGAGTCAACAATCTCAAACAGACAAAAGTTTCCCTCTTTATATTACTATATAGAAACAAAGTTAGGATGGGAATCCCATTGGCATGGATGCAAAAGGAATTGGGAATTGCATAACATGTCAACATAAACATCCTTCAACCTCGCAGGTTTGTATTTCTCAACGGAAACGGGGAGAGATTCGTTAGCTACAGCCAGAACAGACTCTGAATAAAATACCAATTGCACCTTGAAATACTGGGAAAGAGAAAGACAGGTTTACTGATCACATGCATATACTACATTTTGTCTGGTGCCACATGCACATCTAAGGTTCTGTCAGAACTCACATCGGTGACCATACCCAGTGTACAGCTACTTTCCCTAACAAAAAATAAGACTGGGAGTCCCATTTTCATCAGTGCAGAAGGAAATGGAAATCACATCTCATCTCCACATAAAACATCACTTGATCTCATTGTTTTGTATTTCTCAATGGAAATCGTGAGAGATTGCTGAACATGTGACCATCCAATAGGCATTAGGCAACAATAAACCTAACTCCTGAAATTTACCTTACATAAGAGACAGAAAACATTTGGCATGATATTGAACCTTGAAGAACAGCAAAAGGAAGTCCAAAATTCGGATACTCAAGGGTAAAGAGAACCTCTAATCGCTGCAATATGAAGAGGAGAACTCCCACAGCTGTCTGCTCTGTTAGGATTAGCATCATGATCGACAAGCCTCACAACAGCTAAAGATCCACTACCGTGTATGGCGAAAGCTAGTGGTGTTGAACCTGGCATGTGGCAATCAGAATAATCAACACTTATAGCTTCTAATCAAATGAAGTGGTATGTAATAGAAACAGATAGCAGTTTTACAGAGGTACATCTTGTATTATGGCATAAGATTAAACTAAACAGAGAGATCCATGACCCACTGCCTTCACAGGTATGCTACCTTACTATATACTGTATCATATATCCATGAACCGCATTTCACACAAACCAACTCTTTGTGCAGAACTTTTGTCAAGCAGACAAAGGTTTCCCTCTTCACTACAGAAACAAAAACTAAGACTTGGAATCCCATTCACATCAATGCGAAAGGAACTGGTAATTGCATAACATCTCCACATAAATGATCCTTCAAGTTCACAGGTTTGTCTTTCTCAATGGAAATTGGGAGAGATTGGTGAACTACAGCCAGGGCAGACTCTGAATAAAATACCAATTGCACTCCAAAATACATGAGAAAAACTGGATTACTAGTCACGTCCATATTATAACATTTCATATGCTATCATGCACACCTAGCTTGTGTCAGAACTCACATCGGTCACCATAACAGTTTCCAGCCATTTTCTCTCAAAGCCATGAGTGAACATGCATTTCACAAACACTATTTGTATTTTTTTTTCTAAAACATACAAAGGTCCCCTACTCGGGAAACAAAAATTAAGAGTGGGAATCCCATTTGCATCAATGCAAAAGGAATGCAAATCGCATCAACCTCACATAAACCATTCTGCAACCTCGCAGGTTTGTATTTCTCAATAAAAATCGCGAGAGATTGCTGAACTAAAACTTACACAGACTCTGAATAAAATACTACGTACTTGAACTCCGAATTGGGAAGAAAATAGGATTACTGGTCACATTTGTTTCATCTACTATCATGCATTCATGCATACTTGTACCAGAACTCACACCAGTCACCATATAGGCATATAGCCAGTTTCCAGCAATTCTCCCAAACAAATAAGCTAGAAACCAAACTTAACCCTCGACCTAACCCACAAATCAGATCAAAGCCTCCCTTCCAATGCTCAGAAACAGGATCCAACCAACCCATCCCTCCTGGGGTGCTCACCCAACGAACCCCATGCAAAAGCACAAATAGAAGAAGATACGAATTAACCTTCGGTGCCAGTCGCGTTGACATCGAGCCCGATATTCTTGATCAGATTATTGCTTTCACGACTTAACCTTCCCAGCTGACGCCGCCATGTGCATCGCCCCGTGACCCTTGCTCCATGGAGCCTGCACCCCTTCCACCGCATCCGGCACGTTCTTCCCCGCACCCTCCTCCAGCAGCTTCGCCAACGCTGCGCAACAACAGCAATCCGCATCCGGCGCACTCTTCCCTGCACCCTCCTCCAGCCGCGACGCCAACGCTGCGCAACAGAAGCAATCCGCATCCGGCGCACTCTTCCCCGCACCCTCCTCCAGCCGCTTCGCCAACGCTGCGCAACAACAGCAATCCACAGCAATTCAATCAAACCCCAATACCAGAACCGAAAGTACAAGCAGGACACCAGAATCATCAGATCATCCATAGACCAGAGAAACCGAAACCACGGCATCCGTCTCGAGAGCTTACTCCTGATTTTGGCGAGGTAGCCGTCGCGCGCAGCCCGGACGACGGCCACCCTGTCGTCAACGGAGGGGTGGTTGGCCCTAGGGTTTCCGAACTCGATCTCAAGACGGGATGGCCATCGACATTCGGCTGCACCAGCGAATGCCGCCCGGAGGAGGGGGCCATGCAGAGGAGAGGGTTCTGGAAGTTTCGTGGCGAGAGAGAGAGAGAGAGAGAGAGGGGAACGAGAAGAGCGGGAATCGCGAGTCGGCTGGCGACCTGCCGTTGCGGTATTTCCGTAGAGAAGAAGCCAGTCCAAGTGACAACGCCTTTTATGGGCCGACAGTGGTTGGATTATGGCCCATTGGGTTACCGCAGCTATTCAGGTTTTTTTTTAAAAAAAATGAAAGACATATATAACGCGCCAGCAGGGGCAGCCCAACGCGCCACAAAGCTCCGGCGACAGCCCCGCAGCCGTAAAAGGTATGACTAATTCATCCCAAGATCATAAAAGTGATCTGGACACAAACTGACGCAACAGATGGTCTGGCAGCACCAGTTTCGTGCCGACGAATTTCCCTCAAAGTGACTGCCAGTTGCTTTCTCTGTCGATGGAGCAGTAGGCTTACCACATATCATCCAAATCACATAGACTGCAAAGTCGGACTTATATATGTACTCCCTCTGTCCGGTTTATTTGCATTTCTAGAGCTGGTAGCGGCAACCAAGATAGACGAGAAATTACTAAAATACCCCTATAGATGTAGGGCCGGCTGCAGCGGTGAACTGATGGCTGTGGGAAGGTGGAAGGGAGTATAGGAAGCGTCATTTCACCTGTTGAGGGCAGCAGCCTTTTTTTTACTATTTTATTACGGCAAGGATGGGTCAGGTGCTACGAGCAACTTCTGGATGGGCTGATGACGGAGCCTCCGTTTATTTGTCTTTTGTGTTTGAGTATTTTTTATTGATTTTTTTTTTGTCGACACGCTGGCGCTGTGTGGTACATCAGCATCTAGTCTTCGCCGTTGCTAGTCTGCTACGATACTGCTACGCTCTGCAACTCCAAACGTGATCGATTAATTTGGAAAAAGTTTTGAACTCCAGACGTGCAAATAAACCGGGACCGAGGGAGTATGTTTTTTCAAGAATGTTCTGCAGAACAACATCTTTGTTTATTAAAACAATAGAACACCTTAAGGCATTCATAAACTTTCCTTACGCG